TAAAGCAGTGGCCTCTAAACTTTTTGATTACATAGAATACCTATTATGTAGCCGGGTACGGTGCAGTGGCTCACGCCGGTAATCTCAGCACTTTGGGAGGCCGAGGCGGGAGGATCATAGGATCATGAGGTCAGGAGTTCAAGACCAGCCTGGCTAACATGGTGAAACCCCGTCTCTATTAAAAATACAAAACGTTAGCTGGGCATGGTGGCACACACCTGTAATACCAGCTACTTGGGAGGTTGAGGCAGGAGATTGCTTGAACCCAGGAGGTGGAGGTTGCAGTGAGCCAAGATTGCACCATTGTACTCTAGCCTGGACTATAGAGTGAGATTCCACCTGGGGAAAAAAAAAAAGTGACTGGGTCATGAGGGCCCTGTCTTCATGAATGGATTAACGGATTAATGGGTTATCATGGGAGTGGAACTGATGGCTTTATAAGAAGAGAGACCAGAGCCAGCACACACAGCCCCCTCACCATGTGATACCCTCCACCACCTCAGGGCTCTGAAGAGAATGCCCACCAGCAAGAATGCTCTCACCAGAGGTGGCCCTTTGACTCTGGACTTCTTGGCCCTTATGACTATAAGAAAAAAATTCCTTTTAAAAATACCTTATCCAGCTTCAGGTATTCTGTTATAAGCAACAGAAAATGGACTAATATACTCATGCTGTGAATCAGGGGGAAAGTGGCAGGTAAGGTGATATATTCCCAAGTGCCTCGGACTCCAAATCACAAAGAATTTTTCAGAGCTAGCCAGATTCTCTCATAGTTCTGCTCAGAATATTTCATAAGAATGACCTTGCAAACTGAAGCTTTCAACCTGGCCTGGATACCTTAAGAATATTTTGTAAACAGTCAATCCTCTGAACTGTACCCATCAGCAGACCTAGGTTACCTACACAGTGTACCTGAAAGCCATGCCTTGTCTGAATTCACACAGAAAGTTTTTAGAGCCATGGCACTGTGACGGAGGGAAAAAAGTGTGGACCACATCTCATGAGATGTGCAAACAACATGGCTCACAACAAACCCAGCAGAATGCTCAATCTTTAGAAACCCAAGATGAGTAAAATAACACAATGACAACTTTTGGCAAGGACATGGAGAAACTGAAACCCTCATAAATTACTGGTGGGATTGTAAAATAATGCAGCCACTTTGGAAAACAATCTAGCAGTTCCCCTATATGTTTAACATAAAATTACCATATATTTCAAACATTCCGCTCCTAGGTATATACCCAAGAGATTTAAAAATCTATATCCACACAAAAACATGAATGTTCATGATAGTATTATTCACCATAGTAAAAACGTGAAAACAACATAATATCCAAACACTGATGAATAGGTAAACAAAATGTGTATACCTATATAATGGAAAATTATTTGGTAATAAAAAGAAATAAAGTACTGAATTCATGCTACAACATGGGTAAACCTTGAAAACATTATGATATCAATGGAAGCAGTCAGATACAAAAGACCACATTATTGCATGTTTCTAGGTTGTGAAATAACTGGATAGAGACAGAAAAAAAATCCAAAGACAGAAAGTTCATTACTTGGTTGCCAGGGGCTTTGGACAGAGACGATGGAAAGTGACTGCTGATGGGTATGGAGTTCCTTTTTCAGAGGATGAAAATCTCCAAAAATTAGACACTGGTGATGAGTATACAACTCTGATATTACAAAAAAAAACCCACTTAATTGTATACTATAAAATGGTGAATTTTATAAATCATATATAAATTACATTTTAGTAAGGCAGTTAATAATTATCATCATCATCATTTTAATGGCTAATGAAATGTGGTATCCTGGATTGGATCCAAGAAAAGAAAAAGGACATAGTGGAAACATTGATGAAATCCAAATAAAACCTGTAGTTTGATTAGCAGTGTTGTACCGAGTCCCTGGTATTTCTTAGTTTTGATAAATGTACCATGGCATTGTAAAAAGTTCACAATAAGGGAAGCAGGGTGAAATGTACATGGGAACTCTTAATCACTTCAAAGTAAAAAATTTTTTAATGATAATGAAAAAACTTAAAGTACTGTACTTCAATACTACAGACAGAATGCAGTTACAGAAAAGAATAATTTAGATCTACATGTATTTGACATGAAAAGATGTCCGTGTTATGAAGTTTTTAAAAACAGCAAGCTGCAGAACAGTATGCAGATTAGTATGACTGCATTTCCTTACAAACTTACATGCAATGTTTGTGTGCAGTGTGTTTGTCATCAGGGGAACAGGATTTTCACCCTGTCCTTCATACGTGTGTGTACTATGCAATTTTCACAACAGATACACATAAATTTGTAATTTAAGAAAGCCACAATAAAAACAATTTTTAACATTTTGAGTTTTAAACACACACACATTTAAATCCCCTCAGAAGCTGCCTGCCAGGAAGGAATGGAAGATAGACTTCTGTCTAGGTTTTGCCTGGAAAGTGGAAAAGGAATCCACATCCAAGAACATCCCTCTGCTCTATGGTTATTTCCACCTCTAGGAATAAGGAGTATCACGTCAGTACCACGCATTCTAAGAACAGTAAGTTACTGACAATCCCTGAAGTTAAATGCTGGGTGCACATGGATTCATTATAACATTCTCTCTACTTTTGTGTATGTTTCACAATTTTCTTTGTCTTTTTGCCCAGGCTAGAGTGCAGTGGTGCGATCTCCGCTCATCACAACCTCCGCCTCCCGACTTCAAGCAATTCTCCTGCCTCAGCCTTCCAAGTAACCAGATTACAGGTGCCCACCACCACACCCAGCTAATTTTAATTTTTTTTTTGTTTTTTGTTTTTTGAGATGGAGCCTCACTCTGTAGCCCAGGCTGGAGTGCAATGGCACGATCTCGGCTCACTGTAACCTCTGCCTCCTGGGTTCAGGTGATTTTCTTGTCTCAGCCTCCCAAGTAGCTGAGATTACAGGCATGTGTCACCACGCCCAGCTAATTTTTGTATTTTTAGTAGAGACAGGATTTTGTCATGTTGGCCAGGCTGGTCTCGAACTCTCGACCTCAGGTGATCCACCTGCCTCGGCCTCCCAAACAAAGTGCTAGGATTACAGGTGTGGGCCACTATGTCCAGCCTAATTTTTGTATCTTTAGTAGAGACCGGGTTTCACCATGGTGGCCAGGCTGGTCTCAAACTCCTGGCCTCAGGTGATCCACCTGCCTTGGCCTCCCAAAGTACTGGAATTACAGGCATGAGCCACTGCACCCAGCCCAATGTTTCACAGTTTTCATAATATAAAGTTAAAAAAGTACTAATAAAGGTGTCCTATAGGTTTGATCTGTAGGAACTTTTTCTCCTTAATTACCTGGGAACCAGGACTAAAACTCATGACTATTATTCTAGGCAGACTCACTACTGTACAATCTATCCTAAAACCTTCTTTTACCCTACATACTGCAGTGACTAAAAGGAGTAGCTTGCAGTGCACTAATCTCATAAAATCAGTATCAGAGAAAAACCAGAGACAAAACAGAACAATAAGACAAATGTTTAGATCAAAAGTGTCCAATCTTTTGGTTTCCCTGGGCCACACTGGAAGAAGAAAAATTGTCTTGAGCCACAGATAAAATACACTAACACTAATGACAGCTGATGAGCTTTACAAAAAAAAAAAAAAAATCACAAAAAAATTTCATAATGTTTGAAGAAAGTTTGTGAATTTCTGTTGGGTCACATTCAAAGCTGTCTTGGGCCTCTGAGCCAGAGGTTGCACGAGCTTGATTTAGATGGAGATAAGGGCAAGTGAATCAGGCCTCCTGAAATACTGGGCTCCCTAAATAAAGGGGAAAGGAAATGCCAGCATTAGAATTGATATACTCACTATTCTTCCTTGCAGAAAATCATCAGTTTCCTACCTTTAAGTGGCTTATCTACAAGGGTTGTTACATGTCTGCAGGCATCAGGATGGCAAAAATCAGAGGTAAAGTTGTTTTCATTAGGGAATCTGGCAACTTACAAGAAAGGGGCTCAAGACTACATTATGTTAGGGCTTAATGTTAGACAAGTATTCTTGTCTTCAGTGGTTTATCTCTAGATGAAATGCTTTACCTCTTACTGTGGGAATAATGTATCCCTCCAGTTTGCAACATAAAATGGACTTCTCACTATGAACCTTAACAGAAAGAGCTTGACAAAATCTGTCCTAGAAAGCAAGCCTTCTGAGAGCCGGGTCCAAGTGACTTCTCTCTGTCTTCTCTGAGCAAAGCCCAGTGCCAGCCACAGCACAGGAACCTGGGCAAGACAGTACACCCTCGGGGGCTGCCTGTGACCTCTGCTAACCAGTGCGGAACAAAGGTGCTGAAGATATGAGTTCTTCAGAGGCCTGGGGGAACTGACTTATAGAAAATGCTTAGCACATGGCCTAGCATGAGGCGTTCTTTAAATCTGAGTCTCCTCCCTACTCTATCTCTCATCCCTTTTCCTGAATTCTGTCTTTACTGATTTATCTAGTCATCCAGCAAAGAACAAATCACTCCAAAGCCATGGCAGGCTAGAACACAACTAGTTACTCCAGCACTGATGGTGTCCTATGACTCCCTCCATAAAATCAACTGAGTAGAATACTGAACAGCTCTTCTGAACATTTTCAGACAAATATAATGTAGAAGCCTTTCCATTTGAGAATGATCTCAAACTTTTCAATTATTTACTAGGGGATCAAACACAAGCACAGAAACACAACAGGCAAATTTCACTTAAGCTTGGCTTTTGTCCTCTGGGGTTTTATTATTGTTCAGGTTTTGTTTTGAAGTTTTGTCTTTCAATGATGTGGCTTGGTACAGAGAACCCTCTCCTGCTTCTGATTTTATTCTTTCAGAATCTGGAGAGGAAGTCAGCTGTCCTTTCTCAGCTTCACTTCTTTCATCTGTATAATGAAGTTGTTCTAAATTATTTTTCATGTCTCTTCTAACTTTAAAATGTTATAACATATGTGCACACCTTTGTGAGTCCCGATGACGGTCCCAGTGCAGGCCAGTGTACCTGCCCCATCTGGCGTCCCACTCCTGAGGTATGCCTTCCCTCCCAAATGACCCCTTTCAGATCAAGTACAAGGCATCTCTTCTCAACTGGAGGCTTCCCCCAACACCAGGTAGCCTTTACTTCTCTCTCCCTTCTCTGACCTCTAACCACAACACTTGAGGACAACATAAACGGGCACTTGATTTTTCTCCCATTTTGTCACAGGGTATTTTATATCATGTTGAACAGTCTGTCAAGAAACGACTGCCTGATGATTTGTTGAAAGATGATTTGCCTACATCACATTGAAAAAGGAGATGGGTAAAGCAACAAGACTTAGTCAAAGGCCAGTAGCAGTTTTAAAGAGGAGAAAGAATCAGCAGATACCTCATGTCTGGATTGAGCCCTACTCTTCCATTCCAGGATTTCATTCATGCTTTCAAATATACCATGCTTGTAGCCAAAAAATTAAAAATTAACACGCTGACACACTTAATGAGTAATTTTATTTTAAAATATGCTAACTTGTTCTAGCATTGAACGCTTAGAGGCAGGATATGGAAATCAAAAATAAATTTGCTGCTCTAATTTCTTATAACTTCCAACTTTTTTTTCTGTTTTTTCTTTTTAATTTTTTATTTTTTCTTTGAGTTCTAATTTCCTGCCCTCGAACATCAACTTCCAGCTTTTTGTAAAACAAAAAGGCCCTGAGAACTCAGAACAAATTCTTAGCTCTGGGGAAATTATCTTCTTTTATATTAACTCCCACTCTTATCTAATCCTGATTTCAAATTTCAAAAGTAAGCAAGACCAAATTTGGGAGCAATAAACAAAAAAGAATGAGCAAGGGGTGAAAATAAGAGTTCACTATATTCATTTGTTTTCATGCTGCTGATAAAAACATACTCAAAAATGAGCAATTTACAAAAGAAAGAGGTTTATCGGACTTATAGTTCCACATGGCTAAAGGCAAGGAAGAGCAAGTCACATCTTACATGGATGGCAGCAGGCAAAGAAAGAGCTTGTCAAGAGAAACTCCCGTTTTTAAAACCATCGTGAGACCCATTCACTATCACAAGAACAGCACGGGAAAGACCACAGGGTCCCACCCACAACATGTGGGAATTACGGGAGTTACAAGATGAGATTTGGGTGGGAATACACAGTCAAACCATATCACTCATGATGTAATTATTCCAAACAAGGAATCCACTGCTTAGCTAAAGGCAATGATAAAAAAAGGCGGGGAGTGGGAGGGAACAAAAAAGGGCAGGTGGGGGGCAAGGGGAGAAACCTAACATTTATCCATTCTTGTTCCATTGTACGAACCATGTTTTAGGAATTTATTCTTTCTGAGACCCTCTCCGGCCCAGCACTGGACAATCTCCTATCATGATTAAAATGGTTGACTTCTATAATTAAGGACTTCATCCTAACTTAGAACCACTGAAGAATTACCAAAGATTTTGGTCAGAAAGGGCCTTTGGTCATCACCCTGTATTTGATTTACCTTGTCTTAGTGGCAGATTTATCACCTGTACTCACATCCAAGTCGAAGGAGCTCCAAAGCCCAGCTCTTTCTGTGGCATGGTATTTTATTCCCAGGGATGGAGAGAATCAGGAATCCAAGTCCAAAGCTATGCCACTTAAACATGGGAAGCCAGCATACATTTTTATCAAACTTTGCTCTTGGAAAGCCCATCAGAATGACAGAGGTACAGATTATCACCGAAACGACCCAGAGAACTGGAGCATAGGGAGAACACAAGCAGCCATGAGCAAATAAAATTTTTTCCCAAACACAGTTTGAGAAGAAAAGAGAGGGAAAGCCACAACCAGAGTATGCTCAAGGGGGCTGCAGCTGGCATGAAAGCTTATCTTCCTGGTCCCTAAATAAGTTCTGGGTTCCTGCGGCAGCTATGGGGTAAGAAAGACTGGGACACTGGGATAAGCAGGAGAACGCAGGCGGACAAGGGGACTACCGCTGCCAGAGAAGAGAAGTTGTATAGCGGGCAAGGAAAGGACAAGGAGGAGGCTGGATTCTGTGATGAGAGGAGAGTTCACGTATTTGCCTCCCATCGCTAGTCTATGAATAAGGTAACTGTGTAATTTATCATCTGAAGTGCGGAACTTTGAGGTTCAAAGAGAGTGCTCTTATACCAGGACAAAAGGCATAAACAGGGAATGTCCCAGGCCACACCACATGGACATAGGGTCTCTCTAGGCACGAGTTTCTCAGGGCCGGATGCATGTATCATTCTGTTCTGTATTCTCAAGACCAAGGAGGCTCTCAGTAAACACTGGCTAAACAACTGATGTGACTACTTTCTCCAGTAAATCAAATTTACTAAAAGCAATCTGTGTAGTATTCCTGCGAGGACTGCCTTGTTGCACAAGTCCAGGAGGCACTGTCACAGCCCCATGCAGCAGCTGTGTTCACATAAAAGGAGCACTTTTTTAAAGAAATTTGTTTTTAAACCCTCTCTAAATGAGCTTTGAAATTAACTTCCTCCACAACCACAGCCAACCAAAACTCTGCCCTGAAGCCACTTTCCCACTGAACTTGCTGTGACCTTCCATGTTCACCCCTCTCTTGGCAGGGAAAGACTGTCAGGGCCCTGAGAGCTGCAGAGACAGCTGATGCCCCATGCTGTGAGCCCAGAGCATTTTTTCACTAGGCTGCTCCAATTTTGGCATTATCTGACTTTGCAACTCAAATCAAAGATCATCAGGCATGACCAACAGATCTGCATGCTCAAGTCTAGATGCTGACAGCAATACTGAGAGTCAGCACACACATTAAGAGCAGAAAGATCCTAAAGCTTGTTCTAAGTCCTTTCCTTGTTTGCATCAGTTTGCTGTAATTATCCACAGGTAAGGTACTAAACAAGGGCCCTGGGATTTGTCTCTTTTCCGAGGAGAAAACACCCAAAAAGCACAAGTGAACTTTTTTGCAAGGATGTTTCAGGGAAGTCCGGAAACAAGCACACAGCAGGAGCTAGCACTGGGCTCTCAGACTGACAGCTGTGAGTCCTATTAATGGACCTCCAGTACCCTTCTTATATTTCACTGTTTTAATCCAAGCTACCAAACAATTCTAATAAGACCAGCCCATAAACTATTCAGGTGCCTCTGAGGCAATCATCTGAAAGTCCTCTCACAAGAGGGCGTAGAATGTGGGTAAAAAAGAGAAATGGGGAAGAAAGCAGTGGGACCACCAGCCAGACCTCAAAGTGCCTTGCATTTTTTGGATCCCATTATCAGATCACATACTAGGTGTGTAATGTGAATTCCCATGTTTATAAATCCTGGGATTACTTTACAAACTATAGTGCTCTGTAATGTGTTCTGTGTTGCACTATACTTTGTGTTAAAAATAATAGCTTGTAAAACGTAAGCAGTTAGTGGAAACAACCTGGTCCTCTCTGTTTTTCTTGAAAGGCTGGGTTTTCAAGTAGAACTATGGCGGAGAACTAAAGAAATATTGTTTATAGGCATAATGCACAAGATGTCTGCAAACAGGCCTTCCTTAGGTGAGGGAGATTCAAAGTTCCAAAACAGTTAAGTATTGTAGAGAAATTAAAAGCATTTTATTGAGGATTTACTGTGTGCTAAGCACAAGCTGTGTCTTAAATTACTTTCAGATGCCTCTAGTAATTCTGGTAACTACCTACCAATGCCAAATGCTCAAACTAGTACCCAACTAGTTCCCCTAACATTCCAGTAATCCACCCTCAATCTCATTACCTCTTACCCACTGAACTATTTTCTAGGAACCTTTTATTCATCCTCAAGTTGGCTGAGACACCACCATAATTTTTTTACTTTCCAAGATGTAACTTGGAACACCCTAGGAGCCTGCTCAAAAACCTTCAATGAACACTAAGAGTATGCTTAAAAAACAGCTTAACCACCTTGGTGTGGCTTCATGCCCTCTGGGGTTGGGCACCAATCTCTTTCTAGGTAGCAGAGTTCAGGGGAAGAGTTTGGGTTCTGAACCCAGATAGCCCCATTTCCGATGCCAGCTCTACCATTTATCTTCACCTATTAAAGGATAATTACAACAGCAACTAACAAGATGGTCATGAGGATGAAGGGAAATAATGTGCCTAAAAGAGCTCAGCACAGGCCTGGTAAGCAGAACTGTTCCATAAACGTTAGCTATTTTCATTATCCTAAGCTTCTTCCACTCACTGAACAAATAGATGAGCACTGCTGTGGGCCAGGCACTGTCCTGTCCTTATGCTCAGCTTACAGACTGAACAAAACAAAACCCTTGCCCACCAGAAGCCACCCAAGAATGGCAGGAGGGAGAGAACTCAGGTCTTCCCTACACACGATCCGTAGGCCAAAGTGGAACTTCCCTAGCCTGCTCCAGCATTGCTCAGCACTATTTCCACCTGGAATGTTTACTTCTACATGTCCAAATCCTGCCTATCTTGTAAGATCCAGCTCCAGGTGCTGGATTTCCAGAAGCGTTTGCTAGTTACCTCCACAGAAGGGCAGCCTGGACTCGGCACTCTGCATCTCTTGTAACTGGTTGGCTGTAACATACGACACAAGTTCCTCCCAGGCAAACCACATCTCCTCTGCTAAAATTACCAGTTTAAAGGCAGGGAATATAATTTTTCTCTCTTTAACTCCCTGGCACATCTTTTCACACACACACACACACACACACACACACACACACAGAGAGAGAGAGAGAGAGAGAGAGAGAGAATGTGTGTGAAATGGGCAAATAAATCCTAATTAGCCTCTCATCATGCTATGATTAAACCACAAAACCTAAAGAGAAATCTGGACTACAAAGAGGTGTTAGGAAAGAAAAGAAATACCTCTGGAGAACCACATAATACAAATATGCACTATCAGAGTTTAGCAACTTATCTTGGCTAAGAAGTTGTAAAGTCTCTTTATGTGACTACTTCTGTCTTCCTAGATGGGGTTGGGAAGCTGGTAAAGTTTTAGTGGACTGCTGAACTCCTAAGATTTGCATGCTTTTACACCCATGAATCAAAAACAGAGAAAGGTCAAGGCTTTATACACTTTCAGGATGTCATTAGAGTATCCAGTTTCTAATATGCATTGAACAGCGTCAGTACAGAACAGAGGGAGGATTCATCCATTTGTCTAGAGGGCTTCAGACAGATGTGTACTGTGCTCTCAGATTCAGGGCTGAATCAGTAATGAACAGGAATGGCTAATGATGTCCAGCCAGAATTGGTTCAGTATGATTCAGAGTTCAGAGATAGCACATCACTGTTAAGCAGGGTCAAAGAGGCCTAGCTTCCATCCCTCCTGGAACCCTGGGGGGGCAACTGTAACCAATGGACCAGAGAGGAATGGTCAGTGGCCTTCAGAGCCCCCTGGTCCTCACACTGGGGTAGTCTAATCAGATAACAAATAACCCTCAGAAAACTCAGCCTTTGATTTCAAATAAGAAACATGTTGTATTCTAGAAAAACAAAAGAACAAATGAAACAGACATTTCTTTAATAACCATAACCCAATTTCAGTGAAGACTGTCCAGCACCAAGCAAGTAACAGGCTCATAACTGAAAAACGGGATGAGTCTATCTGGAGAAAGGTTTTTACATATAACTGATGACTGATTCTGAAGTCTGAAGTTTCTATTTAGTTAATGGAATTCTCCTAAAATGTACTAGGCATGTCTATTAGAGAGAATATTCTAGAGTTTGGCTTTTCTTGAAGACACCACTACAAATATAGCTGTTGCGCTAAGCTCAAGTCCAAGAGTTGCCTTCCAGGGTCCTATAAAACACAGCAAATCGGAGGAGACCTCTGTCATATCCAGGTTCTTGGTCTTCCCCAACCTTCACTTGCTGCTGAGACACTGGAGGAGACAAACTTCTCCACAAGTTTTAGTTTGGGAGGTGGCAGGAATAGTTTGGAGGAATAGAATTGGTAGGTTAGCCTCTGGCTGTCCTGAGTTGGTGTCATATACCCTTTAAGCCACGGGAATCTAAAAGGTTGCTCTCAGAAAAGCCATGTGCCTTCCGGAGATATAACTATTCAATCACTCATTATGTTCATTTATCAATAAATATTTACTGAATGGCCACCATGTCCCAAGTACTGTTTTAGGCAATAGAGACTCTAATGACTTCACCTGTCTTGCTTAACTGCCATCAGACCTCTGGCATCAGAGGTCTCTGCCTCAAGAATCTTACATTCAAGTAGAAGGAATTTCAGATAATAGCAAAGTAATTGGTCGAGGGTAGAGACTGTTTTAGGTAGGGAGGTCAGAGAAGGTTTCTAAACAGTGAGTTTAAACTAAGACCCAAATGACAGGACGTAGCTCATAACACAGAGATTGGGGGAAAGCCAAATAGCCATTAGAAAGCCCTCTAAAGCACATTCTAGAGACAGAAAGACAAGGGTAGCTAGAGGACAGTAAAAGGCCAGCAGGAATGAGAACAAGGCCAAGAGACAGCTAGGGCTAGGCCTTGGGCATAGGTCATTTACCCTTGTAAGGTAAATGTTTTCATTTTATTTTAAGTATAATGGGAAGACACTGGAGAGAGTTAGGCTGACAAGTGATAGAACCCAATTTGTGATGTTAAAAGACTTCTTGGGCCCGACGTGGTGGCTCACACCTGTAATCCCAGAACTTTGGAAGGCCAAGGAGGGCAGATCACCTGAGGTCAGGAGTCTGAGACCAGCCTGACCAACATGATGAAACCTTGTCTCTACTAAAAATACAAAAAATTAGCCAGGTGTGGTGGCACATGCCTGTAGTCCCAGCTACTCAGGAGGCTGAGGCAGGAGAATTGCTTGAACTTGGGAGGTGGAGATTGCAGTGAGCCAAGATCGCTCCACTGCACTCCAGCCGGGGCAACAGAGTGCGATTCTGTCTCAAAAAAAAAGATTACTTGATATGCTGTGTGCACTGGAGGCTTCGCCATGGCCAACGCTGTTTGTAAACTGTGCCGATGTGACAACAGCACGTGGTGGTTAAGAGTGCAGACTCTGGACCTAGATTCTGCCACTTACTACCTGTGTAACTCTGAGTCAATTAATTCCCCTATGTGCCTCAGTTTCTGCGTCTGTGAAAGGAAGATATTTGCTGTTTTCATTTCCATTTTAAGAGCAAAAGTAAAAGGGGTGGCATCTAAGGGTCTAAATATCACTAATATGACACACTTCTTTCCAAGAGGCCTCTAGCATATTAGTCTGTTCTTTCCTCTCTCCCTCCTTCTCTCCCCCCCACCCAGCCTCCAAAGGAAACAGACAGGTGGCACAATCTTGTTAACAAAGTAAAAAGTGCCCCCTCCTTTTTATTGCTGGAGACTATCACTATGGTGAGAGGAAGAAGTATGCCCAATATGTGAACTAGGATTTAGTGCGCCACTCAGTAGGACACTGTTTCTTAAAGATAAAGCCAATCTTCTCTTGTATAAAAAGCTTTTCCTTCTCAAAGTGAAAAATATCTCTGTGGCTAAAGTCATTCATGTTGAGCATTTGAGCAACATGGTAGACTCGCACATGCCTGATTGTTCATTTTCTAACAGCTGCAGACAGAATTTAGTGAACTCTTAATGATCCACGGGGCTTTCAGCCTGCCATGCATCCTCTATTACAGCAAGCATATAGTTTTCAATATCAGGAAGCCCGGCTTCTCCCTTCAAAAGGCAAGAGGGAGTGAGTGTATCAATATTCCTTATACAATGTGAAAACTAGACTTTCTTTTCTTTTTTTTTTTAATCGAGACAGGGTTTTACCATGTTGGTCAGGCTGGTATTGAACTCCTGACTCAGGTGATCCACCCATCTCGGGCTCCCAAAGTGCTGGGCTTACAAGCATGAGCCACCATGCCCAGCCGAAGAAAACCAGACTTTCTATGTCTAGATTTCCTTCACTGGGACCCTGTATGTTATAATATCATGATTTTTCTATTTTGAATTTTCTGAGAACAAATCACAATTTAAACTCAAGTTCTTCAATTACTAACAAAGGTTAGGATGGATGCCAAGGCTTTCATCCAACTAAAACTCATTTTCTGAATTTATTGGATAGGAAGGAGACAAGGAATATTCCTGGCTGATTCCCAGGTGTCCCCTCCCACAGGCTTACCCTCCCCACTTCATTCTCCTGAGAAATGAAAGTCACCCATGGGATCTGGATGCCCATTAGAATCTTCCTGCCTTACAGAAACCATGGCTACTAATTCATCCCTCTCATAAAACTATACTGAATTAGGATACAACGATAAGAAATGGTCACAAGGATTTTTGTTTTTTTAATGACAAGCCACATTAAGTAAAAAACACAAAGAAAAGGCTACCTCAAAGACAAGCAAGCAGGAGACATTACACAGCTTAATATAATCAAATTTATTTATTTAGTTTTTGGGTTCTTTTTCTTTTTTTGAGACAGAGTCTAGCTCTGCTGCCCACACTGGAGTTCAGTGGCACAATCTCAGCTCACCACAACCTCTGCCTCCCAGATTCAACTGATTCTCCTGCCTCAGCCTCCCAAGTAGCTGGGACTACAGGTATGCACCACCATGCCAGGTTAATTTTTTTTTTCCTTTCTTTGTATTTTTAGTAGAGATGGGGTTTCACTACATTGGCCAGGCTGGTCTCAAACTCCTGACCTCGTGATCTGCCCGCCTCGGCCTCCCAATGTTTTTTGTTTTTCTTTTGAGAAGGGGTCTCACTCTGTCACTCAGGCTGGAATACAGTAGGGTGATCCTGGCTCACCTCAATCTCCGCCTCCCTGGCTCAAGCAATCCTCCCACCTCAGCCTCCCAAGTAGCTGGAGTTATAGGCATATGCCACAATGCCCGGCTAATTTTTTGGTTTTTTTGGTAAAGATGGGCTTTCACCATGTTGCCCAAGCTAATATAATTAAATTTAATATGCATTTACTATACGCTGGGTACTGCTGTAAAAGCAACGGGTTTCACTTTGGGAGGCCGAGGCAGGTGGATCACGAGGTCAAGAGATCGAGACCATCCTGGTCAACATGGTGAAACCCCGTCTCTACTAAAAATACAAAAAATTAGCTGGGCATGGTGGCGCGTGCCTGTAATCCCAGCTACTCAGGAGGCTGAGGCAGGAGAATTGCCTGAACCCAGGAGGCGGAGGTTGCGGTGAGCCGAGATCGCGCCATTGCACTCCAGCCTGGGTAACAAGAGTGAAACTCCGTCTCAAAAAAAAAAA